TATAAATTTAGATAGATTGTATATAATATGATATATGAAATAAATATGATATATGAAACAATTTATATATATGGAAAGAATACAAATAAATAGTCTATTGAATAAATTATATAACCAAAATAAAATAAACAAAATAAAATATAAACAATATATAGAAAATAATATGATTGTATATTCATAGCTATATCTTTACAGTATAAAATAATTGACAAATAAATATATAAATAAGATATAATTATAATAAAATAAATATATATTTATCAAGAATTTCTAGTTTGTGAGTGGGCGAGGAGGGATTCGAATGCTCTAATCCACTGAGCTACAGGCCCCATGACATTCCGATCCATGGGGAAATATATAAAAGATTTCTCTGTATTACTACGTAATATATACAATAATATGTACAAAATACATAAAATATAAATAAAAATAAAAATACATCTAAATAAGAACAATATAATATATGTATTCACAATACATATAAGTGTACTATATTTTTTATAACCATAGAAATGATATATTAATAGTCTGTCTGTCTGTCTGTCTGTCTGTCTGTCTGTCTGTCTGTCTGTCAATGTGGTTTGGCAAAATGTGAGGAGTCAATGCGGTCTGTTTCTCCATCCATCCGTCTTTGGATGGGTAGCACTGTTCATGATATGGTCAGGCATTTATCGTCTCCTTTGTGCAGTCTGGCAAGTACAGCTCTCCTCCCACACTGTCATTATCGCTGCATCTAGACTGAAAGTTACCCCGAATGCAGCAGCCAGCTATAATGACCATGAGTTCTATTTGGGGGAAAAGACGGTACCTGTTTTACTTCCAGTGATTCCTGTTCTGTTCTGCAGATGTCTACAGCTACCTGTTACTCCTATCGATTGCTCTTCTGCCAATGTCTCCCCCTCCCCCTCCCCCTCGCCCTTTTTTTTTTTTTTTTTTTTTTTTTTTTTCACTTTTTTCTTTTTTTTTTTTTTTTTTTTTTTTTTTTTTTTTTTTTTTTTTTTTTTTTTTTTGCTTAAGCTTCTCTGTATATCTTTTTTTCTTTGGCTAAAGGAGTCCGTGAATCCCTCCACATCTCAATCCAGTGTACTGGGGCCACCATTACCCAGCTTTGGCTTGGCTGGAAACCGGGTCCAGCGTCCCCTTGAGTATATATATATATTGAAAACAGGGCCTTATGGTCCTGGCTCCTTCTATTCTGGGGAGCGTCAGTCCGGTTCCTATTCCACCGGCAAGTCAGAAAAAACATTACATTAGACCACAAACTCACGCTTCCTTCCGTTTGGCCGAAGGACCCCTGATCAGCATTGATTACTCCACCGTTGGCGGAGGATTGACTGTCAGCTTGCCATGACTCACTCCCTCCTCTCAGACCTGAAAGTCCAGTTCTGCCAGATAGCGCTATGTCACCTAGAAGGATCTTGCCCATTATTCCTGTTCATCTATGCTTTCCCCCTCATCCGCCCTGTCCGTGTGTCAAGGTATCCCTTTCCCCATGAAACGTTCCCCCTTCTTTTGAGGATCACTAAACCCTAAACCCTAACCCCTCGATCAGCGGCCCTCACTGTCCCTTCTTGGGGTGGGAATTAAACCACTAGTACCTTTCCCGCGTGGGAAAATAGGGAAAACTGGCAGTTTTCCCAAACTCCTGAATATTCGGAGGTCGGGCCTGACGACGACTGCCATTGATAAATCTGATCGGCGGCCGTCATTTCGTTTCGGCCTCTGAAAAGGTCGGACGCCTACCTCCACGAATGTGATGGTACGAGTTCAACGTTTTCTCTTTAGGATTCTGATCCGGAGATGCTTTGCCCGTGCGCCGCTCTCTGCTGCCGAACGCTTCTTCCTGAGTTTGAGTTGTGCCAGTCCTTCCAGCAGATGTGGTCGTCCTGCAACTCAGCAACTTTCCCGTCTATCAACCAGATCAGCTCTCGTGGGTTGGACACACTTTCGATCGTTCTGCTACATCTTTCCTTGCATATGACCCATAGGGTCACCTTCCTGATAAGTCCATACCAAATCTTTTTCGCTTTCTGGGGCTGTTCAGGGATGTTGATCAGAAGGAGAAGTTGGATGGGGTGTTCAGGGAAAGGGGTTGGGACAAGGGAGTCCCAGAGGGTCGAGGCTCTCGCCCAGTAATCCGTCGCCTCCCTACAGTGTATTAAGAAGTGTACTATATCCTCTACTGCACCCTCCGTGCATACCTTACATTGGTCAGATCTACTGTCAGGGTCTGAGCCCTTTCGCCTAACGTGAAGCCATTGATTAACTGGTAGTGTTGCATATGTTACTAGCCATTGAAGGCTTCTGATTTTGATTGGTCTGATCGTTTTATAGATTTTCCACGGGATATGTGTGATGTTGTCAGCTTCCTGACCTAGTAGCTTCTGCCACCTGGCCTTGATCACCGTCTCTCGGTCTTTTGTTTTTAACAGTGGCTTGTACCCAAATTTGACTGTGTAATCCTGTATGGGGGTGGGCCTCTTAATGTTTGTCTTCTTATCTGGTTTCCATGCCCACTCCCCGGGGTCAAACTCTAAATTTTGTACCGCCTTATCGAATCTGAAGATGGACTTCGGCCATGTGCCTAACACCCTTACTTTCCTGAGCAAGAAGTAATCCATGACTGTGGTTTCCACGTTAATATTCATAATCGACGGCATTCCCTTCGTGGAACCTTGAGTATAATTCTAAAAATTAGTAAAAGACAAAAACTGGACTTAGAAGAGATCAATTTGTACCTAGAAAAGAAGGGAAAGCCGGAGCGCGGGTTGAACAAAATGAGCAGTCTAGAGTGAAATGGTGGTGGTGAACAAACTATCCCTTACTTCCATAGGTCCCCCCTTAAACCCTAAACCCTACCCACCCCTGTGTCCTGGACCCTACACCTCCTTCCACTCAAAGGTTCTCGAGCAAGGTGGAACAACCTACAATACCGGAAAAAAACACACACTCCCCAGTGGTGGAATGAACCACCTGAACTAGACTATGTACCCCTAACCAGGTCAAGAGGCAACTACTTGTAAACTGACTCCCTCTTTTCTTAAACACTGGCTCTTCTGTGCCTTCTATGCTGTGTTTATGACTTTATATCCGCCACACTCTTCTGTGATCGCGCTGTTTTTCTAATGAGGCGAGCTCTGTTCTACGGTCTCTCCTTTGTTCTTCTTCCTGCAGCTTCCATACCAGTCTCGGAGGAGCGCCTTCTATGGTGCCGAGTCGAGTTTACCAGTTCCGAGCCGGTCTTTGATGAATTTGTCTACGAGTGTTTGTTTTTTTTGTGGGGTCTTCTTCGATGTTCTTGGTTGCCTGGTGCCAGTCTTTCTGGTACTCCGTCCGTAGAAGTCGTAGTAAGTGCTCCCAGGCCTCCTGGGTTGGTGTGTTTTGGCCGGCGATCGTTTGTTTGCATTGCGTCTTCCATACGATCCACAACGTAAAGGGCCGACGTCCTTGGAAGAGGGGTTAA